TGCGTAACGATACCACACCAAAAGTTGTTCAAGATTATCGTCAACCTCTCATCCAAAGAGGAAAATATGCTGTGGGCCTGTAGTCGCATACGCATAAAGACGGTGACACAGAAGATATAACCCTGAATTGAAGTCACTGGATGAAGTGAAGTGGTGACCAGTTCTCATCACATGAGCTATCGAAAGGCGTCGACTCCAAAAGAGTCCAAGTTCCACCGAGAGAGGTTCCTGGTCGAACATCTCTTCAGCTTAATCCACAGGTAACAAGAAGGATGGTTGTTCATTCAAGTATGGCACTGGTGCACGCAACATTGGTATAGTGTTGAAACTAGCATCCTCCACTGGCCACGTCCCTGTTGCTGCTCTGGTGACCTAAATGTGGTGAAAAGTGCTGGACGGGATGCCGTTAGATGCTGATGGCTGGGTATGTTTCAAAGGACGGAGACCTCAAGCTTGTTCGTGCCACGGGTGTAATTAAGGGTCAAAGTGTTCTAGTAAGGAAAAATGAGCTTGCAAATCGAATGGCGTGCGTGCCGCCTTTTTCTTTACATGTTTCGCGTCTTCGAAAAACAACTCTGAATGAGAGTGAGGCAGGTGGAGCTGATCCAGGAAACTGATGAAAGATTGATAGTCTTGTGCTTTCCATGGACGACGGTCATCCATCAGCTGAAGAAATAGGGGGGGGAGGGGTTGAGCGGAATGTGTTGTAGTGATGGAAACGCGTGTTCAAACGAGCCATATGAAATGGTTATTCAAGTAACATTTAGAGGCATCAGGAAGGAGTCACAAGAGGCAACTGCAGGGGACAATGAACAGGTGATTACTGTCCAATCACACAAGTTCTATGGATCAATCAGATGAGAAAATGAATAGAGGAATGGAATAGAAATCAGAACAGAAGGTTCAGCAGTGGTAGGATTAACGTCAATGGAAAAACATCATGGTGCGTCAAACCACATGTTGAGTGATGTTAACAGATTAAAAGTGATCAACCGAAGCGAGTATCGTGATTGGCACCTCCCTCCGCATGGTATAAAGGTCACAATGTTTCCCTTTGTCGGTCCCTGCGGATAACATTGAGTTAGTACATGTGGTACAAATACATATGCAAGCGGTTAGAGCCAAGTAAAAATAGTTTCATTATGACAGAACTGATCGGAAAACAGCATCGCATACGACAATCCTTCCTGTTAAAAAACAATAGAGTGTGCCAAGTTGCAGGAAAGAAAGAAAATGGGTTTACATGCGTGTCCAACCCCAACCAACTACTGGTACTCTAAATCCACACGTGATTAGCCAGTAGTACAAACATGTGTGTGGTCCAAACGAGTCAGAATGCTCTGCAACATAGGGGTATACTTCGAGAGCACAGTATCGGTTCAGCATCGCTGAAAAAAGAATATGAGGGAGGAACAGTCCACAGTACAGCCGCCGTCAAATGTTACATTGATGTCAATAAGGTCGTTTATAGACCAATGAGGGCAATACAAAGCGAGCAACAGATGTGTTGCTCGAAGATGAACATGCGACAGAGTTTTATGCACCAGAAAGAGCTACAGTGTTGTGAACAAGAATGCATCGAAAGATGAGATGACAGCAAATTGCGTTGCAATGCAGTAGAAAAACAGAAATGAAGAATAGTACCTCTGAACGCGTAAGAGTACCCGGAACTGTGATGGAAAGATGACCGATAGAGGGGTAAGCAATTTATTAAAAGATAAAGCCCGTACTTAATTCATATTAGGAATTGACCAAGGCAAGCTGTATGAAGATAGTGGTGGTTGCACGACACCACAGCATCACGTGAACATGAGGTCAGATTTGCACTATCCGACCACCCAAATGGCCACCTGACGTGAGAGCCGACTGGCATCAACCAATGATTGATGGCTCCTCGCCTACAACTTAGAAACTTGATTAGCAAGTGCGTTATGCCTACGGTGCGATGGGCCTGTTTTGTGCTCACTTGTCCTCCGTGAGAATGGCGGTGCCGGGGAGTGACGAGCTTTCAATGTTAGGCGTGATGCTGCGTTGTGGAACCAGTGAACTTGCGAAGCGCCGAAGATGAACACAGATTCAGCTGACTCATTGCCTCTGCGATGTTGGCTCCGCGTGACCACGCTGGTGGCTTACCGGGCAGGTTTGGCTTTGGCACTTGTGACCACGTACTATAGCATCATGCGCTTGACATCGATGGGCTAGAATAAATCAGCGAGTGTCCAGCATATCGATACATCGAGCAGTCATCCATTTTTGACACTTTCCCTGTACAATTTGATCGGTCTTTCTTGAGCATACATCTTATATTCTTCTTCACTTCGCTGTTGACCACGATTGGGTGGATCTTCTGAGGTGACGGATTTAAGCTTCCAACGCTAATAAGTATACTCATGCAAGGCGCATGGCCATTGATTTCCTGGCGAAAGAACAGTGCTTGACTCAAAAAAACCGATTGATGGTACGGGCTAGGTGGCTTGAATGTCCATACTATATAGACAGAAAAATAGCCCTAAAGATGAGTTACATAAGTGATGGCTAACCTGCTTTAAAAGCCACACCGGCACACGACGAGATATGGCATGGAAGTGGGGGTTAAATACATCGAGAGAATAACCCGCATAGAAGCAGGTCCCCAGGAGGCGATCCGAGTAATGGCCGTATTACTTCGATTATACGTGTTATTTATCTACACTTGTTATCCTGCAAAACCTCATAATCATCCCGAAAGATTTAACCGACCAACTAGCCATGTTCGCCAAAAAGCTTGAAGACTGCTTTCGAAAATTCAAAAAATATAACAACTGCTTCTTGCGATTTTGCCGCGCACCAAGAATGGTAATATCCGGTTGGACTGTGCCTCGCACCGACGAGAGATATACTTTTGTTTTTTATTCACTACAAATTCACATTGTCCATGCAAGAGCACGATACAACCAGTACATATTTGGTCTGCGCCAAATATGGACGCAGGTTCTCATTTAAAGAGAAATCTACCCATTATTTTTATTATTATCCACCTATTTTGTAAACAGTATACAAATATGAGTTCAGAAAACGCATCCCCTAGGGATATTAGCTTGAGGACCTGTATGTACACATGCAGCACCTAGCCAACAACAAAGTTCGTCACTTTGTAAGAGGTCATTTTCTCAAACGTGTGTAGCCGAGGCCTCTAAATTGTGCCTTGGGCCAACCGTGGAATCACTTGTCTTTTTACCATCCAGACTAATGTCGCACTTCTATCAACGGAAATCCAAGATACCTCCAACTGAGTGTGGGTTTAAACATAATATTAATTTCTTTCAGACTTCGAAAGTCACTGGGACATTTCCGGTTAAAAGCACTTATAGCTTCGTAGTATGCGACAATACACTTAAACCGATCGATCGACAGTAAGGTGAGCAAATTGTAAATCAAACTGTGTCAGTCTCTGTCTAAATTATCACTGGCGATCTCTCAACATATCAGGTTATCCCGTAAGCATGTTACTAATGGAAGAAAGATGTTGTTTAAAATTCCGTTTGGTGATGATACCGGGTGTCCCCGCCGAAACCAGCTGCGAAAGCAATACTCAGTTTCAAAATCGCAAAATATCTACAACCGGGCAAATTTAAAGAAATCCTTGAAGGACTGTTCGAAAACTATTTATTGCTGTAAGAAAGGAACTGACACGGTACAGGACTGCTCAGGCTCGTCGAACAGTAGGTCAGGTACTGCAAAATGCTACAGTGCGGAAGTAGCAGTGAGACCGAAATAGGAAGTACACTTTTCAGTTGAAGTCAGCGGAATTGTAAAGAAAGCTCGTATCCTCTTTTTATGCCACTAACTTCGAATGGCAGGAAATATGAGTTGTAACCAATTTGCTCCGTACTGGAACCCTTTCTACGAATTGATTCAAATGCATGCAGCACTGACATAACTAACTCCATTGATTCGTGATCATTAATCCTAGGTTACAACTATGGAAAGGGGGTACTGGTACAAACTACTGTTGAGTGGCACAGTTATGACAATCAGCTACTTACAAGGTGGGTAGTCAGATAAAGTGGTAGCGTCCGGTAGGAAATGCAGCAAACATTCAGGGCCTAATAATGGTATGGAAAACTGGAAAATAATTCCACTGAAACCTACGCTGGAAACGATAACCAAATTGATAATAAGTCAAAATCTGTTAATCCGGATTTGAGATTACTCGAATGTCATAACCAGCAAGCTGGCTCGACTCATCTCCATATTTGCCATGCAACACAAACCAATCGTGGTAGTATCGCATAGTAGAAGTTTAGAAAAAATTGAAGACAGCAACACGCAACGCGATTCACTCTAGGAAGCGAAAAGACGTAAAAGTTAGGCTTGCAAGTAGTTATACAAAGGTGTATCCTTCGTCATCAGAGCCATGGAAGATGCGGAAAGTAGTTGGAAAGTACGATGTTGGTGTGGCAAGCGCAGAAAAGGAATTTTACGGACACGGTTCTGGAACTAAACAAGATCAACATTAGACAGTATGTGTTAATGTTGAAAAAAAGCTATCAAGACTAAAAGGTAATACATTATGCCGTGGTAGATTTCCATCGGCGTTTGAAAACCCTTACTATGTGGCAGAGCCGTACACGATAATTGTTTGCTGGCCTAGACAATGAGAATACCCATGAAGTCTGAACAGCTGGAATATGTCAGCATTTAGCAAAGCTCTCATTATGAGAACTAGTTTAAAAGACATCAATCGATCGCAACCCTCGTTCCCATCAGCAGACTATAGGAAATCTGTCAACATTGTCTAACAGCATTTGTGTGATCAAAAATGCCAACTATCACAAGCTAAGGCCCAACAGGCCTTTGTTGGGAAATAAATTTAAGAACAAGATGACTGGTACCGCTGTAAAGTTGGTGTAAAAATATGCAATAACTTCCATATCGCTAACCAAGATAGAGTGTATCCCTGTTTAGCAGAAAGATAGCAATGAATAAGAGCACTGTATATAATACATCTCCATATATACCTGATATGGTGTTGCGAATATGCGAAAAAGAGGGCACTTATGGGGATCCAAGGCAGATAAGCGATCGATGCAGACAGGCCACTGATGTTGTACTCCGGAATGGCCAGAGTCCAGCCAGTACATTGAACGAACACGAGAGATAACACTGTCGGCCGTATCTGTCAAGGACGTTGTATACTTCGGCGGAAGATTAGAGAACAGGTGACAGGTAGACATCTCGTAGAGTAAAGACGTCAAAACACAACACCCCTTGCTGAACCCAATCAAGCTTATGGGGTGTTGTGTAAAATCCACGTCAATTGATGGATCAACTTCACGAATTCGCCCGCAGGCATCGATTAGTAGAGCAGCCAGATGCTCAATTGTCGAACAGGATGTGGGACGCGTTCTGTTGAAAACGGGATTACCATCGACATCCACCACGACGAAGTTGGAGTAGCTGGCAAAAACTTCGGAAACCCATGCGCACGGTCGAATGACCCACACATGAACAGAAGCAAACAAGCTACTAAAGCGCCGACTAAGTAAGCGTCCAGTAGCTTCCAGACTCCATTGAATATACTTCCTTCTCGCAGAACTAGATAACATATTCAGCTCAAAATCCTACAATAAAAACAAAGTGAAAATAACACCCATCAGGTTGGATAAGTAGGCAAGACAACTATTCTCAACAGGGGGGGGGCAAAGAGTTGCCCTTTAGGCAGCATTAACCCAAATGGAACAATACCTCTGGTAAAGAACCTATGGGGTGAAACTAAGAGACACATCCAGGAGATCGGAATCCGAAAGCCGTAATAACAAAGCAAACGCAAACTAGTTCCGAGCATTGGTAACATACTCGAATGCTGGCTATTACACGGATGACACAGGTTGAACTTTAAAATGAACGAACCGGTTGTCATGGTCCGGCCAACTATGACAGGCAAGCACCACCAATATCGAAGGAAAAACAATAATAATGAAGATTGTGTAAGTGTAAACCAACCTGAACATCCCCGCCAAAGAACACCACGTTCATGTCCGCCGGAGTTCGAAAACCAGTAAAAATAACATCGTTCGTCCGAGGTGTGATTCCGACACACCTTGGTAAAGATATTTGCAACAATCCATGGGAAGGAGAGGAGTTCTTCACTGATTCCTGTGAACGTACAAATAGCTTACAACACAGGTAAACAAGTTACCAAAGTGGAGAATGATGAACAATGAAGCAACCGTTTTGCAACTGAAACCACAGACCACATGAAACAAATGTCATTTCTTGAAATTAAACAGAACAACGAATCCACAACCGATTCGGGTGACGTGGAAAATATATGAATTCCACAAGCTACTCCAGCATCCGAAATCTCGTAAACATCGAAACACAAACTCACAAGTGTACCATCCGGGCTCAAAATGGCGGGGCACTATTAGAAACGCACTTTTTAGACCGTACCTGCAAATGTGTGATAGTAATTCGCGGTTGTAATATATAAAGCATCCAGTGATGGAGGGATAATAGTGCGCGGTAGAAGCTAAGATATCGGGACAGTGGCTTTGCTGCGAAATGGAGTCACAAGGACAGGTTTTCAGAGTTTGAATAACTAGTACAGATGGGGCGTTCCTTCCAAAAACATCTACGCAAAACAAAGACGATTATAGTCTCCCGTAGGGCCATAAATCATTGGAAAAATATAAAATCCTACGACTCAGTTTCTAATATGAGTAAGTGTCTGCCTTCGCACCATATAAACAGATTGAGAAATATACGGGTAAATGCCAACGTGGCCGTCAGATAAAGAGATGAGAATGATAAATAAATGGATGGACAAAGAGACGCATACAGGTAGCATGCTACAGCTGGAGAAGCAGTACCACCGAAGTAGTTCAAAGTCTCCCTAAATGTAACTCGTAGCAAAGAAAATATTAGAAGCGGTCAAGGAATAAAAAGCAGAGAGAGAAATAGATTAGCAAAGTAGTCTTCTGACATCAACAACGCCAACTAGATGGGTCTCTACAAATCGCATCACCACGAAAGTCCTTTCGCATGGTCCCACTTCGACTGCTGTTCATTACAGAAGGCGCTGCAATCCTGTCCATACGCTGACACAAATGATTTTCATTGAACTTTGATGGGGAGAAAAGCAACCGATCCCATAAACTGACAATCGAGAAACTATCTTAACCCAAGGTTAGATAAGTCTATCAGGATGCCCCCTGAAGCAAGATTTTCCCTGATTGCAATTATGATACAAACTTTCTATGGGAGAGGCTTTCCTCTGCCATGCATGATACTGAATTCATTGCTTGTACCATATTTCATCGACAACCAGGCATCCGAGCATTGTGACACAGATTAAGATGTGTCCAAATGAACGGTTAGATATGAGGTTTGAGACCCTTCAAAAAAGCCACGTACACCGAGATGGTTTAGTAAACCGCAGAAGTAGAAGCGATGGCTAACTTCACTAGTCCCAAAGGGTAATGCGGCAGTTAGACAATCGGCGACCAAGTCGGAGGTCTAAGTAACAACACGAAGCGCAACCTGGCTCACTGAACCGAACGTGGACACTAGTTCGCCAAATCATTCCCCGCTTCCTGATTGCTTCACGTCCAGGCTGAGTGGGCTGAACCATTGCCGATCAGCTGGGAAACGCCATCCGAATCTGAAAATCAAAACGGAATCGTATCTACCTACCGTTTCCGCGACGCCGACACGAATACTCTCGTGCTTTCAACATTAGAGGTCGGCGTTGAGATCCACTGACAGAAGCGATCCACAAACTAAAGCAGGAGATAATCTTAGTGACAGCAGTAGCAATGAGGAAGGGCCACCACAAACTTTGTGATGACCACGGTGGTATCAGCAGGACGCTGGTAGTGACACGGTCATTGTGTTCCGTTCACGCTCGCTTGTTCAATGTTGAATGGAAGACCCAAGAAAATAAAAATAATACAGGTTTCCAATTGTGACGTGGTTGTATATACAGCATTTTCGATGAGCAACAGGTGCTATATCAGCATCACACGCATGCTGGCTGACTGCAGTAATTCACCATGATTCCAAGATCTTATTTATCTCATTGGATTGCTTCATCGGTTTTGTGTACATGCCCGGATAAATGTTCCCGTGAAACATGCGAACATTTGACGTACTGTGTACGATTGCATCACGTCGCCTAATGACTAATGAAGAATTACTGACGAGTAGTGAGGATTTTGGTATAATCCAGCTAACTCATCATTGCCACTCTCAATCAGCAGGCTTAGGTTAGTCTGGAAAAGCACCAGACGCAGCCGTTTCGACCTTCTTGGTCTCGTCAGTGGTGCGCCTCATAGCGTACCTGTTATGTACTCTTGGTTACCCCACGCTCTGACAATCTGGTATCAGCTCTCCTAGTCGAAGGAACCAACGAATGAATGTGTCTTGGAGCTATTTCACGCATGGCAAGGTAACCGACAAAATTCGAAGTTGTACGACTCGTGGACTTAGCCGCAACACGATTTCTACACGCGAGTTGGACGAGCTACTAGACCGAACGCAATTGCACACGCAGCTAGCCAACCCGAGAGAACAATACAAAGACAGACCCTTCGCGTTGGCACTTTTACTGGCCAGGCTCAAGGCGATTACAAAGCAGTCCAGCCTTTTTTTATACTTCAACTGTAACATATGTGAATTGTCACATAAAATGGTTTGTGTAAGCAGGCCCTGGGAGTAAGCCATAAGCAACTGAATTGGCGTCATGTCGAATCGTAAATGTTGGTACATGCGGAGGCTGGACTGGGAAAATGAATGTTTCTTAGGTAAAAAAGGTTGAATGTTTCATGATTGTGGGGATTGGCCGGAAACAGGAATGTTTTCTGAGGTACAAAGGCTAATCGACATGTGAATGTCTCACGAGTTAGAAGGCTGATTGAAAACATGTGCACTTGCCTGAATCGAGTTGTGATCATTATGGGAACGTTGGGTCCCTATAACAGTACCCCTGCCGGGTTCCGCCCCCATGAATTCTGAATGCCAGCAGCTAGTGCCACTTCGTCACGGGTGACAGCCGCGGAGCTACGTGATTGACAGTTGACTATGATATAGTCCAGCTCATCTTCCACTGCCACGCCAGTTACGAACTGTGCGGAGGACAATGGCTAGCCTCACGAGCTAGGACTTTCCGCATAGCGCCTATGTACCACATAGGACATAGAAGCCATAAGGACATATAGTACTGATGAGTAGTAGTGGGGAGTTTGGTATAATTCAGCTAATTCTTCGTTGGCACTCCCAATCAGAAGGCTTGGGCTAATCTGGAAAAGCACCAGACATCGGCGTTTCGACCCTTCGGGTCTCGTCAGTGGTGCGCCTCCCAGTGGACCCTGCCGGGTTCCGCCCCTATGAATTCAGGATGCCAGCAACTAGTGCCACTTTGACATGGGTGACAACCTCGGAGCTGCGTGATTGGCATTTGACTATGATATAACCAGCTCAACTTCCACGGCCATGCCAGTTACGAACTACGCAGAGGACAGTGGCTAGCCTGAATCATGAAGAATTGTCGAGTGCCATTCTGAAAAGGAGGCTCCACCAAGGCTGTGCCATTCCCTTCGTGTTCATCCAATTTCATCATGTAGTTTCACCCGGCAACTTTTCACAATGAGACGTTGCTGGGTAAAAATTTGGCTAACAGTTGTTTGAAAGTCACGAGGCGGTACAGCTGACCACAGATGAAATGTGGAATGGCCCCAATATTTGGCATGAGTTTCGCACTTTCGAAAGATGGGGTTGCCGCAATACCATCAGCCATTTGACGGTCCTTAGAGGCTTGACGATGAGAAACTGGGGATAGTTGGTAGATTCACCTGTTGTGGCATATGCATCAGCAACAACATGTGGGTGACTGTTAAAGCAGTTACACAGATTGCAAGAGCTAGACCTGACTCCATGAAAGTAGATTACCAATGATGGTAAAGGTGTATCCACAGTACAAGATCAAGGTCGCTTCTCTCAATGACAGTGAGATCCAGACCCTTCGATAGAGAAACTCAAGGTAGCTTCAGGTTTTTGATTGCAGAGCGCTGTCTGTGCCAGTTGGTGTTAGATCATCCACAACGAAAAAGGGCGCATAGGCAAGCTAAGAAGTAATGACCACATCAGCTCCTTAAATCAATAAGGTGTGTTGTTTTGAGTAGCCGCTCACGGCATCAAGCAGGATGCGACGGTCGCACTACACTGATGAGGCTCACTAAGACGAAATGGCCGTCTAGTGCTTAGTAAATGTGTCGTGGAAGTCAGACAGAGACTAGTTACGACGAACTTTCTCGAGAACAAGAGTAATTCCACTACCAATCAAATAAAATGTAATCGCCTTTCCAGTTAACATGCCACCTCAAATGGTGACAGGTTAAAAAGATAGCCGTAGCGCTCGGGACAAGCCTTGTCCTCTGAAGGTCTATAGCACGCATGACGATGAAGAATGAGCCACCATATGTCGGATTTGGAAATCACTTTTGGTAGTCCACAGCCGTTAGTCATGACTCATTGGCTTAAGATTGACTCTGGGTTCAGATCGAGCAAAATCCGGTAGATGTGTGCCGATGACAAGCCCCTATAAAACGAAACTGCCGTTTAGCGCTATTTGGATGTGTGGTGGCTGTCTGGCTGAGCCTAGCTACGACGAATATTTTCAAAAACCCAGGTGGGCGTTGTCCCACCTTCCGGATCCAGGATGGTGAAAGACAGGAGGCAACTAACGGCTGGCCTGGCAATGGAATAGTAAGTCCCTTATAGATAACCGGGAAGCGGTTCTTCGACTTAATCCTCTAAGATGGGACTCACAGACTCACCTTACATTTCACTCGTAACCGTAACCAGTGACCCGCTTGTCATCGTTACCTATCGGGACGGTGTGATAGAACTGGTAGTGAAGCGGGACACTGAAAGTCGCAAAGGAGCTGGCTCGCACATACTGTCTTCACACGAAACCATTTGTTTTGGAACTTGCGTTGCCGACAATGTGAAGACACTTAGACTGCACGTTCGTGCAGGGAACCTAGATCTCATGTCAAGTCCCCACTTTCCGATCCACTAATTCGCATCGGTAAGGCAATCATGGCCGAACTTCAGTGAAGTGTTTGGCACGAAGTCCGCTGTTGATGATGACTGAT